AAAATCCTTTGTCAGGGTTCTGTGTGTTCTAAGCTGACATCTTCTGTTGTGAATGCTGTTTAGGAAAATATATAAGGCTTACAGGGAGTGTTTACAAGGAGGTCGTACAGTCCTGTGCTAATTACTAATATGGCAAAAATAACTTTCTACGATAACGTGTACATTCATCTACATACATGTACAATTCTATGTATTTATTTATGTCAATCACACAAACAGGGAGACTGGGGTGCCTCACATCTGTAATGTTCAGCCACCGAACTGAAAGCGCTCCACTTGAGTGTTCTGGGATCTTCCCACAAGTAGAGGGAAATGAATCTAGAATTACTTCTCTCCTTTCAAAACTCTAGGCCGCTCAAGTTTACTATTGTTCTCTGGACCCCCGAAGAGGACTTTACTAACCATGGGCCTACTAGAGAAAACCGGCATTTGTCAGAGACTCTCCTCCAACCACCCACCTCCCCTCCCCCTGACAGTCGTCCCCCCTTCCTTTTCTGTCCCAGCTGCTCTGACAAACACACTTTCTAGGTACCACTTTGACAAATGAAGCTCAACCAGGATCCTTTGTTTTCTCAGAATTCGACCAACAAGCTGGCATTCCAGAAGCTCATCAGGGGGCCGTGAATTACTGTGAAGGGCGCATGGGGCCCTGCTTCCTCCTCCCCTGCCATCCCTGTGGCCTCTGGTTCCCATGATCTGTGGGGCCAGATTACTTCACTCCCAGGTCGCATTCCTGGGAATGCGGGTACTCTCAAAATAAATAATATTTACAGCAGAGCTCAGAGCTGGTGAAAAAATGGGGAGGAGAAATATCTGTCTTCAGGGAGAGGAGACTAGACACTGGAATCCACTGGATTTGTGATTTTTAAACCATCTTTTCCATGGGACTCCAGAAATCTTATTAAATAGATATGCACTTGCACTTATCAAAATCCCACATTCCAATGCCCAAATGAAGGGCATAAAAAAGTAACAAAGAAAGACTGTGTAACAGTCTAGTTTCTATGACTTGAAAACACTTTTTGTTATCAAAAAATTTGGTAAATGGTTACTGAATACTTAGAAGGCTCATGGTCTCCAGCTAAGGCTCTTTATAATCATTACCTATTTAAAATTTGAGGCCGGGCGCCGTGGCTCATGCTTGGGATCCTAGCACTCAGGGAGGCTGAGGCAAGAGGATTGCAACTCAGGAGTTCAAGACCAGCCTGAGCAAGAGTGAGACCCATCTCTACTAAAAATGGAAAAACTAGCCAGGCTTTGTGGCAGGTGCCTGTAGTCCCAGCTACTTGAGAGGCTGAGGCAAGCGAATTGCTTGATTTCAGGAGTTTGAGGTTGCTGTGAGCTGATTCTGTCTCCAAAAAAAAAAAAAAAAGATGACCTCTGCTTCATACCAAGAACTTGGGAAACCTAAATAAAGGGGCCAGGAGGTCTCCTTACACACATACATATGTTCAAATAGAGCTGAAGGGGCAACAGTTAAGATCAGGGCAACAAACTATGACCCACTGGACAAATCCAGTTCTCTGCTTGATTTTATATGGACTATGAATGAGGGATGTCTTTTATATTTTTAAAATGAAAAACAATCAAAAGAAGAATAACATTTTGTGATTTGTGAAAACTTACATGAAACTCTGATTTCCATGCCTGTAAGTAAAGCGTTATTGGAACACGACCACATCCATCCATTTACCTTTCACCTAGGGGCGGCTTCTACACTTAGAGAGGGACAGTTGAGTCCCTGAAACAGAGACCACGTGGCCGGCAAAACCCAAGATGGTGACCATCTGGGCCTTTACAGAAAAGGTCTGCCAGCCTTTGAGAATGTAAACTAATGTTTTTCCTTTTGCTAACTTATCTAACCGAGAACACAGTCCTCAGGCTTTGTGAGAAATGTGTGTGTGAGGTGGGCAGAGAGCATGCAGCTTGACAAAGACAGACAAGTCCAGGTGGCCACCGATGGAAGGGGTTGGTGCTGTATTTATAAATCAAACCCCTCAAAGCACAGACAACGCACAAGTTTCTTGCTGGAGTATAGCGAACTTTTTTGGCAACAGGGACTATTTCCATGGAATGTATTTTTCCATAGACGGCGGTGGGGAGAGCATTAGATTCTCATAAGGAGCTTGCAGCATAGATCCTCCGTGTGTGTAATTTACAGAAGGGTTCACACTCCTATGGGAATCTAATGCTGGGCTCATTGACAGGAGGCGGAGCTCAGGTAGTGACGCCAGCGATGGGCGTGGCTATAAATACAGATGAAATTCCCTCCTTGGCCCTCACCTCCTGCTGTGCAACCCAGTCCACAGTCTCGTGGCTGGGGACTACAGGAGTAGAGATAGAATTTGTGTTTTCCTTTAGTAACAGTCTGCTAATTTCCTGTGGATAGGCTAACCCTCCATGCTTTGATAACTGGCTTTTCTGTCCATGAGCTTTGCACTTTTTGCCTCTGGACCATGATTTAAAAAAGAATAGGCTACCCCAGATTTTTTTCAGAGGAGTTTGATTAAACAGCATCCCAGGAATAAGGCCTGTCTTGGGGAAGCCACCTGCTCCCTCTGCTTCTGTGGAGGTTACGGTGACGACTGTCTGAGATTTTGAGGCAATTTTAGCTACTCTGGTCAACCCACAGCGCTTAATGAAATGAATGACAAGATTCAAGTTGGCAGTTTTATGGAGTAATTAAAGCTGTTCCCTGGTTCGTAGCAGTTAAGTTTGTTTATATTTTCCCAGTGCGATCTCCTAAGAAGGAAATTAGAGGTGGAAAATTTGTGTTGTGACACTCTCAGGAAAGGAATCTCCCTGCAAGACAGCATTTTGTCCCTTGAGGGGCAGGGATTCAATTGAGAGAGAAAAAACAAAAGAGCCGTTCACATACTTGTTAGGATTATCAGGTTACCTGCAATCATAATCACCCCACGAGGAGATCCCGGGCTCCATGAGCCCCATGAACAACCTGTTATACCTCAGGACTGGGGCCCTGGGTGACCCTGGGCTGAGATCACAGTTTTTAGTAACTCCAAGATTTTCATGTAGTATACACATCAGCCTCTACTATTACTCTTTTCTCTGCTATCTGCCTCAAATGACAAACTTGAGAACTGGATCTTATCCTTAGCGTATAATATCAATGAAATGTCCTCCTACAAAGGACAGGCAGAATCGTTCCTTTTAATAGAGAGGATATTGCATTTTTTAACAACATTGACAAATAAACTATTGTGAACTCACCTAGAAAAATCTCCCTTGGCCTCCTGTAAGAGAAAAACAAAAGCAACATTAGTGAAATGGGCCAAGCCAGCACTATGGACTTCAAAATACATCCTGTAGTCATGACGTCTCTACTGAGTAAGTCCTACGCCTGTCATCCCACTTGTTGCAGGGGGCACAGCTCAGAAGGAACGTGAGCCTCTGTCACGTGACCATGAGACATGAACTTAACCTTTAGAAGGTCATATACAAAGACATTGATTCATACTGACAAAAGGTGCATTTCCACCTCAAAGCCCCAGTCTGGTCCAACTTGTTCTGGTTTGAAGGTTCTGAATCTGAATGTGTGCTGGGATTTGCTGCTTCTGTCGCTCTGTTGCTTCTTGTAGGCTGTTTCCCAATGATACTGAAGACTTTGGAGCCATGTCGGCTTTGGCGAAGGCAACAGAAGGCCTTGAACAAAGTGTTCGGTAAACACCCGCTGAAGGACCACACACGAGACCATTTCTGCTCATCTTGTCATCGTCACGGCTAATATTTAGTAGCATCTCCTTCTCTGTGTAAGCTAAAGGGCTTTTCCTTGTTTTACTGGGGCATGAGGTGATTCTTTAGAGACTAATTCTAGGTCTTCACTTGCCTTACCCTAGGATGAAGTCGCCAATCCCTCACCCCCTAAATGGAGTCATCAAGTGATCTCAAGTTTCTTCCAGGCTCAGGTTAAACATACAACTCTTCTTTACAGAGAAACACTGCCTTAGAACTTTGAAATACGATGAGCCCCTGTTCATGGCCATGGTATCAGGGTCCCTAAAAGCTCTTTCCAGCTTGAAGCTGGAAAAGGTTAAGACCAATAGAGAGTGGATCGGGCAGCTGACTGTGCACACTGAGCTTGCTTGCTCATTCTCCTGTGTGTGGTGCTGGGACAGGCAGGTGAGGGAGAGCTTACCTGTAAAATATAGGAGGCTAACTCAAACACCACCTCACTGTCAACGTCAATAAGCTCCTGAAAGGAAACACCGACAAGGAAGACAAGTTTGGTATTTAACAACCACTTTTTAAAAATCGAAATGATGGCTCTCTATAAAGAGGCCTGGTTTGCCTTTTCTGAGGAGTCCCCCAGAATCTCAAATACCCATAGAACAATTTTGGGCCCCGTGGCCACTGTGCTCATTTACTTGGTCCCAAATGCTTCCTGACAATGTTTCACAGCTCTCAGCCCAAAGAGACTAGGGACCTTGGGTTATTTGATAACCAATTGTGTTTTCTTCAGACCTAGCAGCAAGGCTTTATTGAAAGGAAATGTTAGAAAGGGACTGTGACTTTTTAGATTAAAATTAAAATCAATAGACCTTCCATTGGATCCTGTAATCCTATTACTTGGCATCTACCCAGAAGAAAAAAAAATACCATTTTATCATAAGGACAGGACTAGATTGTTTATTGCAGCTCAATTTACAGTTGCCAAGATTCGGAAACCCAAGTGCCCATTAACCCAGGAATGGATTAATAAACTTTGGTATATATTTACCATGGAATATTATTTAGCCCTAAAAAAGATCCAGACTTTATATCTTTTATGTTAACCTGGCTGGAGTTAAGGAACATTCTTCTGAGTAAAGTATCACAAGAATGAAAAAGCTAGTATTCAATGTACTCAATATTAATATGAAGCCAGTAGATGATCTAATAACACCCACACAAGAGAAAAACTCAATGTAATTTAAGTTGGGGGGGGGGCAGGGGAAGGGAAAGAGAGGAAGAGGGAGGGGGACTGGTGTGCTCACCTAATGGTCACAATGTAAGGGTGTCAGGCACACCTCCTGGGTGAGGGACACAACTACAACAGGGACCTTACCTAACAAATGCAAACATTGTAATTTGATCATTTGTACCATCATATTAATCTGAAATTAAAAAATAATTAAAACAAATTAAATTAAAATTAGACAAAATTTTAAAATCTTGTTCCTTAGTTGTACTGGCCACATTTCTTTCATGCACTCAGTCGTTCACTGTGGCTAGGGGCTACCGTGTCGCCAACACAGATACTGAGGCCATTTCTATCATCGCAGAAACCTCTGCTCCTACAACACTGTTACAGACTCTAAGTTTAAAAATACTGCCCTAAGGTCCCTTCCCCTAAATACTTAATTGTCACTGATGGGCGTGTGCTGAAAAGAACTTAAACCTCTCTTTGGTGTTTGAAAAAATCCAATATATGTATTTTTTCAACATGTACAGAATTCCTATCTTTTTAAAAGGTAGTTTTACTGACGTGTTATTGAAACACTCCCCCAAACTGCACACGTGTAATGTGTACAACTCGATGAGTCTGGACACAGGCATGGGCCTGCGGGTTCATTATCAGAGTCAAGGTAATAAACGCATCCTTTGCCTCTGGAGATTTCCTCGTGTTCTTTTTTCATGCTGAAAACACTTGACGTCATCTACTCTCTTAATAAACTTTTAAGCGCATAATACCGTATACATATATACACATCACACGTTAAAGACAAGAGAAACCTGGAGTGTGCCCACAAGAACAATAAACACAATAATTACATATTTGTTTGGCCAAGCTAACGTAAAAATGTCCATCTTCATCTCCCTAATATCAGCAGATCCCATCGTGGCTGACGAGGTGCCAGAGGTAAGAGAGATTTAGAGACCCTGACTCTGACCCTGTGTTTTTATTGACAACAGAAATACAAAACTGTTAAGGGATTTGCCCCAAATCAGAAGACCTTAATGGCAGGGATGAGGCCGGACACAAACCAACCGCCTGTCCAGCGTGGGGCCCTCCCATAGGACGCACAATTCCCCCAAGTCAATTAAGACTCGGTTTCGGCTAACATGTTCTCAGAGCAATATTGATAATCAAAAATAGGTGAAAAAGAGTTCTATTCACTTGCCTTAATGCACCAAACTGTGATTCACGAATTGTCTAAAGGTTTGCCGGGAGTCAGGAACTGGCCCCTTAATAATTTAAAACCATGCATTCAAGCAAACCTCTATCTTTGGAAGGAGGGGTATTATTTGGGCTCTTTGAGGCCTGGGAATTTCAAAGATGGATAATAATATGTGCTACTGAGCCACTTTCGACGTGTGGGCTAAAGAACTAATGAGAACATATGGAAGAGTTAGGGACAATAATTCTTTTTGTTTAACCAGCTGAAAGAGCTTTACAGCTGCTGTAATTGATATAGACTGTCAGTGCCGGGTTGTGAAGGAATGTTTGGAATTGCAGTTCTGAGATTACCAGGTCCCATCAGAATGTAAATCATTGAACAGTGTACAAATGACTTCACAGAAACACTGACCGGGCTTCCAGAATAGGTCAGTTTCTCTCTCTCTCTCTGCTTCCATCGCCGCTGAACGAGGCAGCGTAGGCTTGTTAGTGTACCGGCGTGTGTGTTCGTCTGTCAAACATTCACGCCTATGTTGCAGCCAGCGGTCAATGGTGGGCTAATATGTAACATCCGCTGAGAGCCTTATCTGATCTGCAGCTAAACACCAGCCAGCAGAAAAGAGCCCCTTGAAGGCCATTTGATTCATCTGCTAAGTGAAAATGTCTATATCTGTGTGGGGATAGGGGAAAGAGGGAAGGGCTTTTATTTTTATACAGCCCATTCCACAGGACCAGAACATACTCCTGGCAAATATTAACTGCAATGTACCATTATCCACAGGAATGCTCCCCTAAAACGCACCATTAAATGCCTACCCTGATGGCTCCAAGTTCTGACTCTTCCCTCAGGGTGAGAGCTAATGCCTTTAACGGCGGAGAGTTTTCACTTTCCCTGACCTTGACAATCCTTTAGCGAAGACATTAAAAACAGCAAGTATCACGGAGGTGGAGCCGGGTGGATTGCTTGAGGTCAAGCCTTTGAGATCAGCTTAAACCAAGTGAGACCTGGTCTCTATCCTAGCACTGTGGGAGTCTGAGGAGGGAGAATCACTTGAACTCAGGAGTTCAAGACTTGCCTGAGCAAGAGTGAGACCCAGACTCATTGAAAAAAAAAAAAAAAAATCAGCCGGGCATAGTGGTGAGTGTCTGTAATCCCAGAGGCTTCCAGAGGCTGAGGCAGTGGGATGCTCACAGCCTGAGTCTGAGGCTGCAGTGAGCTATGACTCACTACACTCTGCTCAGGGCATAGGATGGGACTCTCTCTCTCAAAAAAAAAAAAAAAAAAAAAAGCAAAGAAATAAAAATAAACAAGCAAGGAAATAAAAACTAATAGAAAAATTAGCTGAGTGTGGTGGTGGACACCTGTAGTGCCAGATACTTGGGAGGCTGAGGAAGGAGGATCACTTGAACCCAGGAGTCTGAGGTTGCTGTGAGCTAGGCTGAGACTGTGGCACTCTAGCCCGGGTGACAGAACAAGACTCTGTCTCAAAAACAAAACAAAACAGCAAGAATCAAAATGCAGCTGATAAGAGAAAAAAAGGATTAAAGAATTGTGCGCCCCAGACGTCGCACACACTTGCAGAATCTGATGGAGAGAAAATTGCATTATTATTTCTACCACTCCTTAATATTTAGTGAGTTCAAGGGTCACCTCAGTGGGGGGCCTCTGAGGACGCCAGGATCTAACGGGCAGTCTAGAACGGGAGGGTAGAAGGCAGACACATTCCTGATTGTTAAGGAGACTCCCACACCCTGGCAGTCTTTGCCCACTCCCGATGTCTCTTGTTAATAATACTCTCCTCCGTTCATTTGTACTTTGCCCACCCAGTGGAGACCATGCTGTGATGGAGCAGAGCCCCAGACTTCGGCCCGCTCCACACATCTCCTGTTACACTTCAAGACCTGAAAGCCGACTGCTCCCCGGAGCAGGGAACTGATGTTTCCAGGCAGCTTCCGTCAGAAACGTGCTCCCACAGAGCACTAAAAAACCAACTCTCCCTTTCCTCTTCTGACTTCTCTGGCTATTCAGAGGGGGCTTCTTTTCTCAGTTTCTGCTCAAGCAGAAGAAATAAAGTAAAGGGGACCCAGAGAGAGTGCACGCAAAACAATCCTCCACTTCCCTGGAGCTTTGGGTTTTCCTTTAACTGAAGACACAATGGGAAAACGGGAGGAGGAGCTGGCGGGAAGACTCTTCCAGAAGAGGCAGGGCAGGAAGGCTTATGCAGAGCCTGTGGTGTGACGTCCCCCTGTGCTTTTTCAGTCCAGGGCCCAGTGCTGAAGCCCCCAGGCCTCTCGGTGTCATTGGAGGAAGGATTTCTACAGCTGGAATCTTGCCTGGAATCTAGGGTGGTCTGGTGGACACTGGTCACTTTGCCTCGAGACTCCCTGGTAAGAGGTCGAGGCTGGTGGAGGGAACACAGGATCTTTTGGTTATGGTGGCCATTGCGTGTATGTGGGGGTCATCTGCTTTCCTCACTATTGAATAACGAGTGCTTTCTTTGATCTTTTGAAAAATGTTTCAGAAAGACAAAAACGTGACTGTCTGCAGGTGTGTGCCTGTGTGCTCCCAGGAGGGGTGGGCGCCCCCCCCCCCCCAGTGTTGTTTTATGGCTGGTGATTAAGTGGCTGGAGAAAGAGGCCTGGGGTCACTTATCAGCAGCACTGTGGTTAACAATATTCTCCGGGGACTTCCACTTAGGGTCTCTAAACACTCCTGACAAGTGGCCCTAACATGCTCCCAAATTGGCCTCTCCCAAACGCCAAAGAGCTGGAGGACCTCTTCACTCAACCAAGGATCTTAATATAAAGCTTTCTCCCAAGGTCCCGCAATCAGAGGAATCGCCACTGTCACATAAGATAAATGAGATGATCACTTTATAAAATGCAGTTAACAATCACATGGTAGGCTGAGAAGAGTTGGATAAGGACAATCTTGGCAAAATCCACTCAAGATTGTAGTATCCTGCTATTTTCCTTATCATTTTTACTTTCACCTGAACGTCCCATGGTCTAGCCCAGCCCATGAGCCCAGCAGCTGCGGAGAGTGACAATCCCTTGACTGTCTTGAGTTTCATTTTCTTTGTCAGAAATGAAAA